AGAGAGAGAGAGAGGAGAAAGAAAGGGAAAGAATGAAGAATAGAGCGAAAGAGGACAAAGAGGCCGGAGAGGAGAGAACGAGGAGTAAAAGAATAAACCAAACGAACAAAATAAAAATCAGAAGTTTCTATACTTTTTACGGAGATTGTTATAGTCTAAGCGCACACTGATCAAGGCATTCGTCGCTCGGCAAAAAAAAACATAATACAATTATTAATATAAAATTTATAACAGAAATAAAAATAAATGAAGTTAATAAATATGTACACTGTATAATAAACATTATTTCCTATTAATAATCCATGTCTCTTTATTCAATCATCTTTCGCAGCACAAACGAGAGATTGTTGAAACCCTCACCGTAACATTCGTATTCGAGAAAATGTGTACAAAATATATGTTTTATATATTTGTGTTTCTTTTCTATATCTTTTTGGTTACAAGACATTTTCTTTGATAAACGCTAAGTACAAATCTTATCAATATACGCGTGCGTTGATTACATAATCGCCGACTACCTTTGCGACTACCGGTAATTCAAGAATCTAACACACGAATGATATGAACATATTCAATTATAACGATAATCCTTAATTTAAATTAGGATGTGAAATAAAAACAAATCTATTGTGGAATATCTGCACATTTACGTAAACATAGAATTATGCAATGATTCCAAGTCTTTCTCTCTTTCTACCGCTCGCTTCTTTTCTTTTCTGTACATTTCGTAGTCTTCATCGTCCGTTGGCAATTCGTATCGGCAGAGCGGACACGAGTTAGTCTGAAAATGCAAAGTTAACATGTCATAAATACCACGAGTCGTCGCGCAATTTTGTCACGTCGATAAAAAATCCAGTTTTAATTATTATCATCTTTTAAAATATGACTCATGCATATTCCAATGTTAATTCCTTTACGTTACTTCGCTCTTACTTTTTCTAACCACGGTACGATACATTCTTGATGAAACACATGACGACAGGGCATCGATTTTGCTTTGCTGTCCGTCTCGAATTCCTTGAGGCAAACTGGACACTGCTTCGACTCACCGGATTCAATCTTAATTTCCGGTAAATTGGCCACCGCGTCCTTCGACGCTGGTGGCGGAAGTTCTGTGTCCTGCCCGACCAGGTCCCACATGCCAAAATCCCGCAGGAACCGTGCCATTTGAATCAGAGGGTTCGGCGCCTCTCCGTCACTCAGTGGCGTCCAGCCCATCTCCGTAAAATAATCGGACATGTCGTCGGAATTACTACAGGAGACCTGATTCACGGACAGAACAGCGAGATCGGTCGCGAGCAACGTCCACCTTTATCGTGACAAACGGTAACTTCACTTTTATCTTGAATACTATAGTGATCAGATCATCGTCTCGCAGACCTCTCGTAATCTCTCGACATAACACATAGAGCTATCACTGCACAACTATGCGCAACTGCATAGCATTACGTCTACGTGTCTGTCAAAAACCTCAACTCATAATGAAACGAGAAGTCACAGTCTCGAGCACGGAGCGAGAGGACATTAGAAAGCATTCGCTCAACCAAACGTTGGAGCGGAAGTTGCCGCAACTAGGTTGTACATTCGCTAGCGCAACACTAGTCGGAAGCGTGGATCAATATTTTGCGTTTTAAATTGATAGATATTGAAGGGATATTAATATGCGTGCTCAGCAAAAAGAAAGAATCATTATTATAATTACGGAAAAAACACTTTTCTTCTCATTGCTGAATTAATTGTTTCTCTATAACCGTGGACTGATAAAGTGGCTCTCTGAACGACCATTGTCTCTACATGATATGAATTCATGTACCCCACATACAAAGCTCATGTAGTGTTTAACATTAATTTTGTGTATGTGTGAAGATGGCGCCGCAAGTTCTGTTTGCACTCGCGGTAGTTCTAGATAGTTTCGTCGAAATAGTTATAAAAAACAGAACTGTAAAAATATGAGAATATGTGTAAATTTTCCATGGCATCAAACTTTCGAAAAAATTTTAACCGTGGAATCTGATAGTTCTGTTAGTTTCAGAGGAGTTCTACAGTTCCTGATATGATAACTTAATCCTTCTTCGAGCAACCATATATGCCGCTTGAATCAGATATGGTTTGATGTCACTCCGACGTGTCACTCCAGAAACGTTTGACCATTATGAATGTTTTTATACATTAAACTTTTGTATTCTGCATTTAACATCCTGCGTCGGCTCTTACTGCCTTCCTTATTCTTTCTATTTTATAGTGTTTATTTAAAAATTCATTATGGGTTCTGATTGTCCGTCATTTACTCGCATTTATCCATAAATAATAGTTTGTCAATAATTGCACGGTATTGTGTTTACATTGAAAGTGCATTGCAAAAATATGAGGCCCTCCACCACCCCCGCCAATTTCGATCGGCGGTCCTCTTTTCTTTAAAATGTGATTTTTTACAATTTTATTATTTATTTTATTTTTCTTGTACTTTTCTTTACAATATATACAATATTATAAAAGAAATAATTACATTATAAAATTAAAAATATATTATCTATACAATACAATATTTCTCTCGATGTTACATATGAAATATTCGGTATGCATAGAATAACGTGAAATTCTTGCAATGTAAAATACATATACACATTGTATAATGTATATTTAGGATAAAAATATCCCGAATTTATTTATTAACGGTCTCTTAAAAGTAAATCAAATCTAGAAAAATTTTAAGTGAATTTAAAGCAAAAACTTAACAAACGCATAACAGCTTCCATCTTATTATATGCATCCGATTACAAATATAATTATATTTTAAATAAATTTGATATTAAGACTCAATAACTATAAAATTCAAAAGGGAAAAAGAAAGGTGGAAAGAGCCAATGCTAGGTGTTCGTGCTAATAATGTAATTTAATATAAATAAATTATTATATATAAATAAATGTATAAAACGCCAACAAGACAGATATCTAACGCGATTTATACATGAGATCTATACGTCCAAGAATCAAAGCGCTCGCGAACTTGACATTATTTCTTTATAGCGATAATATAATTACCGACGATAATTGCTTCTTTAAACGATGCTTGTATTCGAATACATCTCGTCATTTTTATCTTGGATATTGATTATCAGATTATCATTTCGTGAACGATTGCAATACATACAGTTATCACTGCACAACTGTGCGCAACTGTACAGCATTACGAGTCTGTTATAAACCTCGATTCATAATAACAACGAGCAGTTGGTCTGGAGCACAGACTAGGAGAACGTTAAAACTCAACTAAACGTCGGGGCGGAACTAAATTCTACATTTGCTGGCGCAATATTAATCGTAAGCACAAATCAATGTTTCAAATTAATATTGTAGATATTAAAAGAATTTTATACACCGACAAAAACATTTTTTTAAACTACGTAAATAGATTTACCTAAAATTATTTTTTTACTGAAGTAAAGATTTATTCTAATTAAATAAAAATATATAATTTCAAGTAAATGCATGTATTATATTAAGTAAATTAATTGAAATTATCACATTTTCTACATTCAAATAAAGATTTCGTAAGATATAGAATACTATTTATTAAATGAAATAATTATTTTTGTTGAGTAAGAAATCCAATTTTCTTCGCTAATGAAAATTACATCTTAGTAAACTTTTTATAGAATTAAACAATAATTTTTTAAATTAAAAATGATTTACTCTTTGCATTTCTAATATAACCAACATTGGTCCAATGTCTAGCCAATGTTTAGCCAATGCACTGTGCTACAAGGGAACTTATTGCACGAGTGATTCATCGGAATCAAGTGTGCATATATCATTATAAAATGTTCATGTGAACTAGGAATGGTTTAATACAAATTTTTTCTTTTATTAATAATACTTAGGATTGATCAATTTTAAATACATTTGCATTATGTCCGAATAAATTAATTCGCATGTATTGTATTTTGAAAATAGACTCAGAATAATTGAATAAAAAATCATTAAATTATGTAGATAATTCTGAAACCTGATTTACCAGCCTTTATCATATACATTCAACGATTGCTCGAGCAATCGTCAAAACGCAGCTGAACGTTTAGTCAGTTAGTACCATTTCACTGTGCAACGCGATAAGACAATCTTCTTACGAAGTACTTTGTTATAAGTGCATAATTTTAACGTATATATTGTGGATGGCATACACGGTAAGAATTATATTTTATTGAACGTTACGTGTGTTATGTATAAAGTAGTCGGGAACAAATGTTAAATGCATAAATTATAATTATATTAAACATTAATAAACTTTTCCCAAAATTTCCTTCAAAAATCGAATAAATTTATTACACAAGGTAATGTAGTTTACTTTATGCAAAAGTAATACCTACACTATTTTGCTCAAGTTTCAATAGTTGTTTGAAAATTACAAGTTTACAATTTAATTTACGTTTTTGCAAGATTCATTGTCAACAATATATA